CGATTTCCAGATGGCTTTATCTTTATCTCTGAGCTTTCTCTAAACGATGATTGGTCTTGTCAGTGTATTTCTTCGCTTTCCCTCATTTCTTCCTTACTAAGTGTTCACAGCTAGAAGAGCTGACCCATACTCGGATGCCAGTTTAAACCTAAGACGAAATACAGAGGTCCCATTCTATGCTGCTGAGAAAATTTGCAGTGCTTCGGCCTCTGAGCATAACCAAGCGGTAATTGTCTTGAGAGACAACCTGAATGTCCTGGTAAAAGTTGGGGAAAAGGTTTTTCCAGTGGTAAAATAATATCCAGTTTACTTTGACAGCAGTTTCTCATGACTGGACAGTTTTCATGGGGATAATTTGACTTGGACTTGGAGTCCTAATAAAAAATGAAAAACACTTTCAAAACCTGAGAGCTTTGAACAAACTTAATTTGGAACTTTGAGAAAATTTGATGGAAATTTGAAAATGCTGGCCAGCTTCACCTGCCTCACATTTTCATATGGTTTGTCTTCTTTTAACCTTATACTTATGACATTTTGTATGTATTTAATTTAGATGTCAGTGCTAATAAGCTTGCATTCAGTAGAAAGGGTAATGTAATAAGTGCTCATTATGTGCAGGCAAATCATTCCGATGAAATGTCAACCTCCACTTAGGGAATGACAAATCAGTAGCATTTGCAATGCAATCATTTGATTAGTGAGATATGTACCGCAGCGCTAATCTATTTTTTGTTTCCTCAAAATGGCACAAGTGAGACTTTGTAACAGATTAACATTAGTAGGCCCACTTTTACAGAGCAGTAGGCATTCTCTCTCTCTCTCTTTCTTTTTATTTATTTTTTTTTTTACAGAGAATGTGACTGGTTTCAATCTACATGTTCAGCAGGGTGTGTTCAACTCTTTTTCTTTGCAAGCGTGTAATTTTTTCAGTTGCTGTAAAGGTATCTCTTCTCCAGCAAAGCATGCTGGCACAGTGCCTACAGAGCCTATACAGCAGCTATATTCTTTACACGCACAAACAATTTTGGGTTTATATGCTCAGAGATGTACTTAGCTGGTTTAGGCCTGCCTGCTGACTTTGAGTAAGGCATACAGTGCTGTTCATTTAAAAATAGAATAACTTGCTCCTACAAGATTCAGTACAGATGACTGCAGTTTTATTATTCCAGCTATAAATAAATCTCTTAAATAAGACATTATAACAGAAAAGACCAGTTATCCGCATCACTGAAATGCCACATGCTTTAATCTATGTCTATGGTGCCAGCTAGTGGAGAAAACTAGCAACTACAGCAGTGCCCAGGTTCCCAGTCATGGTGTTGAAGTGCCCCCTTCCCTGGACATTTTTTGTATTTTCCCTGCTAGAAAACTCCTACTTCAACTCAGGAAAGGCTTGCTAATTAACTACTTAGCTGGACTAGGTGTATTGGGAGCAAGGAAGACACTAAAATGTGCAGGGCAGGGGGTACTCCCAAAACAGGGCTGGGAAGCAGTGGCATAACGGTATGAGTGAACTGACAGATTTGAAATGTTACCACATAAATCTGTAAAAGTCCAATATCAATTAATCCAATTTCATAAATGTTCTGCTTAAAAAAATCATTAATCATTCTCCTTTCTATAGAAACTAGAGTCGGAATTGTTCACAGTGGTGGTGATAGGAACAAAATATCTGAAGAGTTCAATGTCTCTAAAAGCTAACTTACAGGAAGTTATTATAGGAAATGATTATGAATGTTACCTGATGCCTGAAAAATCAAGAAAAGTGTTTATTTTTCAAAATCCATTCATGGAGAAGAGATATATGCAGAGCAAGGAAAGGCACAATAGTACCAAGAGAAAACTTTTCCAGATTTATCACTGTTGAACCATTGTCAACATTACCTATCACAAAATTTGCATTGCAGATACTGTGACTTTAGGCTGGTTCCTAACACCAGCCGTGTAAAGAAATCTGGTAAGCTTCTCTGCAAAGCACCATTTCACATCAAACTCCTCTGAATGACTTTTATTTACAGCTCAGTGATTAAATTATGCTGAATTTTTGAAAAAACAGTCAAATTTCCTTTCAGGCAGATTTTTTGTTTAACTGCTAGTGCTTAAGTGATGTGTAAGAACTGAACTTAGCTGTGTATTTGTAACTGCAAAACATAAACCTGCTTGCGGAACTGTGTCAAAGCACAAAATTCTTTAAAAAAAAACAAACAAATAAGCTGAAAATAAATAAAGACTTTTTGTAGTGGTTTTCATTTGTGTTGTGATTTTAGTAGTACTCATTTAGATTCTCTACAGCAGGACAGCCTGGAGTGTGGCTGCGGGCCAAAGCTGGCGTATGAGGACGCCAGAAACTTACCCTAGCCCTATCCCCCTCAACCAATGAGAAAACAGACATATTTTTTACTATCTCCTTATTTGTATTATCTTACTAGCTTATTTTTACTTTTAAACTTAACTTGTTAAATATTTTAGTAGCGAAATATAGTGTAATGTTATAAAATACATTTTTAAAAACTTCATTTGATACTTACTTTCCTCCTTTATTTGTATACTGTTTTATCTTTTTGGCCCTCGGCCTACCACAAACATTTTACCCCCCAAGGCAAAAGGTTTGGGCACCCTTGCTTTACAGTTTTTACACATTGCAGACACTAGAGGGAGCTGTTGGCTTTCCAATAGCCATGCACAGACCCAAAATCCATTCAAGAAGCTGAGCACTTTGCATGTGCATCTACAGTTTTTATTTTGTGATCATGACAAGATATTAAACAACAACCATACTAATGAATTTTGGCAATATTATGCAAAAACATTAAAATGCTGCTGATGAAGAACTCTTCCTGTTTGCCGTCTGCAGTGCAGGCTTAATGACTCCAGTCACACTTCTTTAAATGTTATCCAAATAGTAGACTGAGCGCTTATAACCACCACTTGTTTTGGATGCTATAGTTCTACGCAGTGCTAAATCTGCCCATTACCATCCTTTAAGTTAACACCACTGAGGATGAGACTAGGATTGGAAGACTACTTTAGGTTAAAGAACTCACCTAACCCAAAATATGAAATATGAATCTGACCATTTATGCCAATGCATACAGAATAACTTTAGCCAAATACAATAATCTCGAGCTCTGATTGACTCCATTTTATATTTTCACTACTGTGCACTGCTGAGAGGCTCTCCCATTAGGGTTATCCATGTCCTGCTTCAGACAGGACACTGATATAAAGCCCAAACTGAGTTTTGGGACAGATCTAGAGGTCAGTCTGCTGCCTGGAAGGCATTAAAGCTCAGAAACGTCCACATGGGCAGCAACCATGATCAATGCAGCTCTGCCTCAAAGGGGGATTGCATAGAGTTGTGGCAAAAACTGCAGCCTGCACATCCTCGCTGCCCAGCAGGGAACCCATCATTTGGTCAGAAACCACACCATCATACCCAACATACAGCCTGGGAACAAACAATGCTTGCTATTCATTGCCTTCTTTTGCTCTCCTGCCATACTATACATACCACTCTGTTATGCCACGCAAGTCACAAGTCCAAGAAGAATCTACATTTTTCCAGTTGTTCATTGAAACTACACATACAAAAATAAAGTTTCACTTAATGGCTCTTGGCTTAGACATAGAAACATTCTAGGAAAACCCTTTAAATTACACAGAATGTTTACATTATATGGAACTTCTTTAAACTTGTTCTTGAAAATGTTCTTGTCGTTTCTGTGTGGAGTTTGCATGTTCTCTCCGGGTACTCCGGTTTCCTCCCACAGTCCAAAAACATGCAGTCAGGCTAATTGGACGTGCTAAATTGCCCCTAGGTGTGTGTGTGTGTGTGTGAATGTGTATGTCTGTCCGTCTGCCCTGCGATGGACTGGCGACCTGTCCAGGGTGTATCCTGCCTTCCTCCCAATGACAGCTGGGATAGGCTTCAGCACCCCACCGCGACCCAGAAGGATAAGCGGTTTAGATGATGGATGGATGGATGCTACATTGGTCGAAGAGTACACTTAAAAATAAAAATGCCAATAGATGTGATACCATACACCATTAAAATTTCTTCTTTAAGTGTTCTTTAGGCAGTGGTCACATATATAAAGTGACTGTACTGTGAACACTCAAAGAACTATTTGAATGCAAAAATATAAATAGATAATAAACATAAATAGTCCTGTTGTACAAAAAAACTTTACTTAAAAACAAAAACAAACAAACAAAAAAAGAAACAAACAAGCAAAAACAAACAAACAAAAAAAAACAAACAAGATGTTTCTTTAAAGAACAATCTTTGTAAACGAGACGTAAGAACCTTTTTAAAATAAAAAAAAAACGTTTTGCATAATATAAAAGTTCTATACCAATTTATGTCCTCCTTCCTAGAACCATACGTCCAAACCTAGAACCCTTCAGAAACCTTAACGTATAATAGTTTAGCCTAAATATGATCATACGTAATTACGAACGCCATGGCGATTCAGGCAGGACCCTTTGGGGGGGGCGAGGGTTAACAGCTCTGACCGTCACTCTACACCAGTGGAGCCCAGTGCTGCTCCTGCCCTGCATGTTTTCGTGCTTTTCCTGCTCTTACACTCACAGCCCGTCAGATCTGCTATAATTAAGCCCTTCCTGAGCTGAAGTGGGTGTGTTAAGAGCTGAGAAAACTCTAAAGCGTGCTGCAGGTCCAAGACTGGGACGCAGTGCTGAGAGAGAGAGAGAGAGAGAGAGAGAGAGAGAGAGAGAGAGAGAGAGAGAGCTGGTGCTGCACTGAGAGTGGAAAGCGCCTCCACAGAACGCTCCTCAAATCAGATTCGGAGGCGGTGCTGTTTGAACGGAGCGCGCGGAACGTGCTGCGCTCGCGCCTGTGTTTAGTTTCGCGAGGTTACAGAGTGCGCGCGCCGCGTTTCACATCAGCGCCACAAAGTTCAGCAGAGAGCTGCTGCAGCCGCTGTGGCTTCCAAAGCATCATTGCCAGGTTCCGCGAGCGCGCGCTAATCCTCGTGCTCTCACACGCGGACCGCTGACGTCACACCGTCCGTTGAACGCGAGACGCTGTGGTGGAAGTAACGGACGGCGAACGGCCGAGGTTCGCGCTCATTCTTTTCCCTCACACGGTGACCGTTATGAAGACGCTAGAAGCGAAAGAGGCGCGCGAATGCGCCGCAAATATGGAGAGCGTCTCCGGCGCGAGCAAACGCCGGCGGCACTGCCTCCGCACCGCCGTGAACGGAGCTCCGTTTGTGCTCTCCGCCGTGTCTGTCGCCTTTTGCGTCCTTCTGGGCGTCCAGACCAACGACGTGAAAAACAGAATGACGGATTTGGAGAGCGCGCGCCTGTCCTACCCGTTGGCTGCGTTGTCAACGGAGCAGCTCAATTCAGTAATACGGGAGAGAGTGGACGAGCTGCTGGCACAGGTGAGCGATTCTGGACACTAAAGATTTCTGACCACATTGTGTTTCCTCTCTGCATCTTTATTCAACTTTAGAAGCTAAACTGCTTTATCATGAGACCAAATTACTTTCTGACACGTTTTTTTCCCCTCACATGTGTCTGTATTTTACCTGTTACATTAAAAAGGTGAGAATGTCTCAGTAGGGCTGGGCAATATGACGACATCTCCCGTTATTCTATTAAATTACGTCACATCGCGTCACAATAAGGTTTTCTTAGCACACCGTCAGTGAAGAACACTGAAGCGCTGCGTGTGTCAATACGAGTTAGATTTAGTGCAGTATGTGAAATGTTTTAAAAAATATTAAATTCATAATGTTTGTGAGTGTAATGTAAGTGAGGCACTATTGGTTCCTTTTTTCCACTTCAGCTTATCAAACTTAAGCAAAACTAAATGCCATGATACTTAGCGATAGCGATGTTGCCATATTGCCCACCCCTACATTATCAGCATTATTAATACCTGCTTTCTCTTTTGGCTTCTTTGGTAGCGCGCCTACGAACAGTTTTCCAGGATAAGGACTGCCCGTCAGGCTTCACCTGAGTGCGACTGCCCACCAGGTAGGCTAGTGCCTCACCCTCGTTAGCTACAAAGCACACAGCTACTACTGCACTGCAAAACAAACAGTGTAAATGAACTCTAACAGTGTTCGTTCGTGTCCAGCTGGACTCTAACAAACACTGTAGGTGTTAATTCAACACTCTGGGTGTTAATGCAGCACTGGGGATTTTGGTGTGTGTGGAAAATCTAGTGTTGTGGTGGAGTAGTAGGCTGGAGGGTATGACAGATGCCTGTGAGGCTACACGACGTGAGTGCGTGTTAGCTTATCTCACTGTGTGGCAGCCAAAGGCACTTTGCTCACTCAGAACAGCTTGTTTCTGTGAGCACAGAGTTGAGAATTGGAGCTGCGCTGGGTTTCAGTGTTGCAGTCCAGGCTTTTGGAGGTGATACATGATGCTGTTTTGGCTGCTTCATGTGCAGTGAGTGACCCTGACTGGCATTTAGCCTGAAGCCGCTAACAGAACTTGAGCTTTATTTGTAGGCTAATGTGCTCTTCAGGTTATTTTTCACAGAGCTTGAGAAAGACAGAGAGGCTTGGATGATGCTTTTGGAAACTCTTGACTTGTAGCTATTCATGTTATGCCATTCATGAGCTGGGCCGCCATGTGAGGATAAGCGAGGTGGATTTTGAAGGATGCGGACAGGTGAATGCTCAGCACTACAAACAAAACAAGGGTCATTTACAGGCTATACATAGACACTCTTAGAGGTTTTGTGAGGGGTCTGTCATTAGTCACAGTGTCAAAGAAATTCCAGAGGAATACATTGAGTGTGAATGTTATTTCATAACTTTACAGTAGAGTATCATAATCTGAACTGATGAACCAGTTTGAGTTTTGGAGATTCATATTTAGGCTATATTTACTTAGCCCTGCAATGGACTGGCGACCTGTCCAGAGTGTTTCCTGCCTTCTGCCCAATGACCACTGGGATAGGCTCCAGTACCCCCCGCAACCCAGAAAGATAAGTGGCTTAGATAATGTGTGTGCGTGTGTGTGTATATATTTAGTTATATGCACTCACTGGCCACCTTGGTTGGTCCACCTTGAGACGATAGCTCATCTGTTCCTGTGCACTTGGGTTAGTCATCCTCCAGTCCTTTGTAATTGGCCAGTTTCTGGCCACAGGATGCTGCTGGCTGGACGCTGGTGAACTCTTTGGTCCAGCAGCGACAATGGTTGTTTAAAAACTCCAGCAACACTCGTATGTGTGAATCACTTTGTGCAGCACACACAGAAATATGTCATGACCATGCAGTGCTGAGAATGACCCACCACCTTAATAATATCTGCTCAGTGGTGGTCTTGTGGGGGTCTTGACCATTGATGAACAGGGTAAAGGGGAGCCAACAAATTATATCTATCATTAATATATTTAATTTTCATTTTCAGTGTTTAGTGTGTCCTCCCTTTGCCTTTATTACTTCCTTTCTTTTCAGAAGACTTTCAGTTTTTCAAAGAAATTTGCAAGGATATTTTACCACATCTCCGAAGTTTAGTCTTAGAAGTTGGTTGTGTTTTCTGATTGTCACTCCAGGTAATCCCAAACACATTTGTTATGTTGAGGTCTGGACTCTGGGGTGGTCAGTCCATTGTTCTGAGAACACAAGCAGTTTTTGTTTGATTTGCAAATTTTCTTCGTTTTTGTCTCTGTCCTTTTTTCATTAACAGCTACTCATCCTTTCAGACTCAGGTCTTGTAAAGATAGGAGTCATATCTTTTAATAATGTTATGAGTTCCAGTCTTGGAAAACCCTGTTTTTTGTAATTTTTTTCTCTTTTTTTCCTTTGGCTTTCTGCTTAAAATGTGGAAATTATAATTAATGGTGGATGGTCTTTTACGTTTGCACAGTACTTTTTATGATGGACCTGCTAAAATGGACAGTAAGTCTAGATACAAGTTATGTGTACCTAATAAAGTGGCCGGTAAGTCCACATTAGGGTTACATATTGAGTTAGATTTCGTACATGTTCCTTCAGTGAATGAAAGATTTCCACAGTGCACAGTACACTTTGTGGGATACCTACTGGCAAACTGTAGTGACCACAGGCAGCCTCCTGAAATGAAATGAATGTCTCAGTCCTCCTACGCTGGAGATTCTCGCTTCTACCAGCAGATGGAAACACACTTTCTTAAAGATGAGGCTTAAAGATGAGGTGACGTTTAAGAGATCTCATAGCAAGATAGAATGGCAAGGGATGATGAGTTCCATAAAAATGTGGCTAAATTAAACCACATTACAACTCATATAAATCAGTTTCTTGTAAAATCTTTTACAAAGGCCAAGTTGTGATTATGAAACCAATAAGATCACTTAGAAGCTCAATTAATGGGGGCAAATAGGCACCAGTTAGCTAAGACTATGATCCATCCCATTCACAAATACTCTTTTGATTAGATCCTATTATGTGATGAGATTTTGCAGAACACAATTAGGCACTTTGAGTGCAGTGTAGCAGTTAAATGTAATCCTCTGTATAAAAAATCAGTCAAAATGGATTGGTAGTGTTGAAACATGGCAACCTCAACAAAGGGGTGTGATCCATACTGTGTTTTTCATCTGTTAAATCTGTTGAGTGGAAACTGGGCCTTAACTAACAGGCACTGGTGAGAGTTTAAACTATAATGAGCTGCATGATCCTGACAGCCTCTGTTCTAAATCTGCATCATATGTGCTTCATTCATTTTTTTTTTTACACCTGCCACATGTCTGTTTAGTGCAAAAATAAAACAATGAAAACATTTCACACCAAATGAAGCATGTTAGCACAAAACCAACTTGTCCTACTGAACTTCCTTGACAGTTTGGCAATGGCTTGGGGAGCGAGGAGAAGAGTTTTAGGAGGCTTGGTGGCACAACCCATTATGTGAGCTCTTAGAAAAAGAAGTTTCATTCTGTTGTTCTCAGGTTTGTTGTTCTCAATTCTCAATGCACTTATCCAACTTTTTCAATAAACAGTCAAAATATAACAAACTATGCTTTACATTTTAGTAACCGCTTTATTTTAAATACAGGGCATCAAATCATGCCATACCATGCTAATATGCTTATATGTCACATATACTGTTTTTTCGTTGCAATCAGCTAAGGCATGTTTGATGTCCAAACTTTGTTTCTTTACTTTAGTGCTGGAGCTGTGAAGCTAACATACACTAGACTTCAGTGTTCAGTTTTTTGTCTCCAAAGCTTCTCTTAACCGGCTCAAACCACATCCAGGTCTTTGTTAAGGTCGTGCAGACCTGTCAGTGTGGTTTAGAGCACAGTCTGACTTACTGTAAACTATAAAAATGAACAAAGCTACAAACAGTGTACCTAAACGCAGCAAGCAGCCATTTAGATAAAGGGTGTTGTGCTGAATTCTGACTAGAGTTGGGCTGATAGACAATGCCATCGTCCACTGTTGATGGACAGACACCCGTCCCCCACCCCCCGTTCACACCGACAGTGGGGATGCTTTAGTCAGAGATTCCTTGTTTACAGCTTAAACTTTTTAATTGTGTTTACACTGAAAGTCAGGTACAGGCATAGAACTATAAAGTATCATAGCAATGTCTAATGAAGAACTATCTGTTTTCAAACCAACATTTCAGTAATGCTTGTTGTATTTTCACCATTGTAGCTAGCTATATTAGCATCAGTCTAGCAGGGTTAGCTTGGCACTGTTTGGGATTTTTACAATAGGGCTTTTTCAGTGAGTCATTGTGAAGCCCCAGTCTTGTGTCTGCTGAAGCTCTGAGCTGTTTTTGCTTGTAGCACTGCTGATCTTGCTTTAAGTTCATCTTCAATCAGCTGGGTAAATTGGGTATATTTTTATTCTTGTCAAATCATTCTTTTAAGGAACTGGTTTATAAACATTAATAAACATTAGATGCTAATGTACTTTAGTGGAGTTTGGCGTCACAGGCCAACGTTCATTTTAAGATGTGGCAAATGTTCTTTTACATTGTTGTAGAAGGTTTATAATATTACAGTGTTTGTGACAAACATGTTAGAAACAGTATCAGATGTGAATTGATCAGATCTGACTGATATTTTTTATATTCAGTAGGTTTAGTATCAGGGTCATAGCGAGCTGGTGTACTGGATCAATGCAACACTATTCTAAATGGTGGCTGATTCACCTAGTTTACAGAGAACACAGCCTGTGGCTGATTCTTAGCCTTTTTTACCCCTTTAATGTTTATTTCATCATACTCATTTTCTCTTTCACCAAAGCCAATCAAGCAGAATCTTGAGGAAAAGAGGGGCCAAAAGTAAGAGTGAGAGACAAAGGCAGCTAGAGAGAGAGGGTCAAAGTGAGAGAAGCGCGCTATCAAGGCTTCAAAAGGGCATCCTGAACAGGTGTGCTTCTGTATGGATCCCATACTGTGAGAACAAACCGTTCACATCAGGATCTGTTACCGCTTTCAGTGCTGTGAATGTTTGTCACTAACTCATGTTAACTCTAAATAAGGGTGTCTCTCCACATGGTCTTAATTGTTTCAGCATTTGTGCTGTGTTTGCTTCTCTGTTAGTTTTTCTTGTTCTCCACCCTGAGATCAACATTCCGAACAGGGGCCTGTTGTTTAATGGGACCTTTAATAAAAACTGCAGTCAGCCAGAAGGAGCACCTTCTACTGGTACCCAACCTCCCTCTCTCACGTTTTATCCTTCTTCCCCTTCTCTCCTTTTTTTCTCTTTCTCTATCTCTCTCTCTTTGTTTTTGTTTTTCTATCCCTCCTCCTCTCCTCTCTCTCTGCTTCTTTATCTTTCCTTCCCCTACTTTCCTTTCTCTCTTTCTTTCTCTTTCTCTTTCTTTCTTTCGTTCTTTCTTTCTTTCCCTCTCTCTGTTTCTATCCTCCCCCCCTCTGTTTTTTTATCACTTCTTTTTTCTATCTTCTCTCCCCCCTGCTCCCCACTCTCTCGCTCTCTTCTGCTCTCTCTTGCTCACTCTCGCTCTCTCAGTAACGCTTCAGAAACCTTGGCAGCTAACTGCAGGCCAGACATGCTGGGGGAAAAG